AGGAATTAGGCAATCAAGCGTACGTAATTCCAATTCTGGTTCAAAACGGTGAACATGTACAAAAGATATGTGGACATAAGTTCTTGTTTTGACGTCACAGCCTTAATAGTTCCAGTCTCCGAAGCACCTTGAGAAGCCCTATTGCTACAGTTCTTCTGTTGCTGTTCATTAGTGTTGTATCACATTTTGAAGTTGATTCCCAAGAAGAAAACTTTCCTCCCGTCAGATGTTAATTCTCCTCCGTAATAAGCATTTGCTCTCCAATTAGCACCTCCCTCAAGTTATCAGTAAACTAATACCCAGGGTGTAACAAACTTAAGTTCACTCTAACGTACGCGAACCGTACATGAATGGCACTTTACGCACTGTCGTAACTTACACTGACAGTTTCAAAGAGTTGTGAAACTCTCGAATTATCAGTTATTTTCGGTTGCTCTTTACAGGAACAAACATTTCACACAGCCCCACAGTCGTGGTTCGCTCTTCCAGCAGATGCAAGGATTCGCTTGACGTTCGCGTATGCAGTGATTTTTCCCATTGCTCTGTTGGGTAACACCCTTGGTTTGTTCGTAGTGTTAAAGACGTCTTCCCAATCTCATAGAGTCACAAACCTCTTCATTGCTAACATGGCCGTTGCAGATCTCTTGTTAACTGTAACAGAAATGCCTTTCCAAGTGGCTTCTCTCTACCGTTTGAATGACTGGATTGGAGGAATGCTGGGCAACATAACATACAAGGCTTTCTTCTACGTTACGCCGGTCTCAATAGCGGCGACTGTACTGACAATGATGCTCATCACAATCGATAGATTTTACGCAGTATTCTATCTTTTAAAAGAAAAGATCTTTCGAAAGCCGAAAATCTTGTCAGGCACCATTTGGATCCTGTCTTTTGTTTTAATGCTGCCATATCCTATGTTGTTTCAAGTCCAGTTCAATTCATCTCAAAACGTCTACGAATGTCTACAAGTTTGGCCATGGGAAGATCCAAACGATCCAACCTTTAAGGAAACTCGTCACGTCCTCAAGATATTTCACAGCATTGTTTTTGTCGTGCTTTACGCGCTTCCTCTTTCTATAATTATCGTCATTTATTTCTTAATTTGCCGTAAAATGTGTCGTCGTAGAATTCCCGGAAATGCAACAGATAGTAATCGCGCTGCAGCTGACAAGTCGAAACGCAAAGTTGTGAGACTGCTGGTCCTCATTGTCGTCGTATTTGCGTTGTGTTGGTTCCCGAGTTATGTCAATCACTACCTTTGGTTCGTACGATCTGATCTATATGTAAAGGGCATGTTACCCCTTGAAGTGGAATACTTCTTCATCTGGTTCGGGCATGCCAATAGCGCAATAAACTCTTGCATTTATAACCTGATGAGTGACAAATTTCTCAGAGAGTTGGCTTCTACGCTTGCCGGCTGGTGCCCATGTCTACGTCGTTTCAACTGCCCGCCAAATTGCCAAAACACCTGACCTAACCTGACTTGTCCAAGAAGAACAAATCAAGTGGCTTCAGGAGTTTTCAATTTAGAGTCGTTTATCAAGCAACAGGATTTAAGTTCATAAAGAGTATAATATACTATAAGATGTAAAGGGAAGGAGGGTTTACTATCGAGTATGCAGGGCAAAAGTTTTATTCACAGGGAAGAAGCCTTATGAAATTTTACAATAGCATATTATAATAGCTTTAGCAGCTGAGGGAAACAAAATTACCGGCAAGAAAAACGAAACATTTTGTAACACTGATTTGTTTCACAGTAAATGGTTTGAGCCCAGGAGTATCAGTAGTTCGTATAGTGTGATCGTCCGGGTGAGTGTAGTTC